ATATATATATATATAATTTTTGAATGTTCTTTTTATTTATTAAGGAGCAGAAGCCTTTACGTAGATGGTATGCTCTTGCTATGTCATGTCTGTAGTTTTATTTATCTGTTACCTTCATGTCTGTTACCTTTAAAGTTATGTTTCATTTCTTTCTGAAAGATAATTTAGTTTAGTGAGACTTTATTCTAAAACAAATAGAATATTTTATATTTGATCGAATTATTAACTAAAAGAAATTTTTTTCTTTGAAATGTCATGTCTGTTACCGAGTTTAGTAATAGGCTTGACATATGTGGTAACAGACATGACTTGTTACAAGAATTAAATTTCGAAAAGATTGTTTCTGATTAAACAAATTTTAATCATGGAGATCAAATTCTTAATTGCTAATACAAATTCTCTTTACCCTAATGTTTTAATCTATTTTAACATTATTTGATACCATTATAATGCTATTTTTTATATACTAATTTTAATGCTTCTTAATAAATTTTCAAAAACACATAGAAGTGAATCATGATAGTGAATCATGAAGAGAGGTGCTTAGAGGTGAATCATATTCTAAGAATATTCAAAATGTTCGAAATACGTTGTATTTTTATGAAATTATAAATGTTAACAAATGTTAATATTTATAAATGTTAAATACTATTAAGCACTGTATCCCCCCTCATAATTAAGCAAAGTCAAACAGAAATTAGCTACCAAATTCTTTCTACAAAAAGATGTTTAGCAGGTTAAAAAAAGAGATTATTGCACTTTATTAGACTTTGCCCATTTTATGTATGTGTTCCAACAACCCGCGGAATAAATACATAAAAATTTTATGAATACTTGCTAGTTTTTATGAAGTCTGCTATAAAATAAAATGAAAATGTTCGTCAAAGAAATTAAATAAGCAACATAAAACTATTTTTTTAAAAAAAGAGTTAATATTCATATGATGTCGAAAGAAATAATACTTTTCTGAACTGATAACGAAATTCAACCCTGATATGAGCAGATTTATAAAACACATTTTCAATCTTAGACAACAATATTATGCAAACTTAAATTGTTAATAAAATCTTTAAAAAAAACAATGATTCACATTGACTTCTCAGAATACTATGTTAGCAAATTTGCAATAGAAATTCAAGTATATCATTTTGGAGGTTCAAGAAAGCAAGCCGCTTTGCACACTAAAATTTTACACTAAGAAAAGATAAGCAATTGTTTTTCACAATTTCAAAGTCATAACATGATTATGATCCAACAACAATTTGGGCTGAACTTCAACCAATGTTAGATCATCGTGAGAAATTTCCACCAAAAGTTGGATGGTCCCATCGGCATAATTTTCTCTCTCCCTTAAACAAGCTCATAGCTAAGAACAATTTGAAATATGGATAATAGTCATTTTATGAATTTGTCAGTGCTAAGGAGCTACTGATGGAGTTGGAGCTGCTGTCAAGTAAGCAGGTGACCAAGAAATATTACTGGGTTTGATTTTTAAATGTGATTATGATTTTTAACTGGGTTAATTTTATTGGGTCCTGATACAAAGACCCTGCTCTATTTTTCAAAGATGAATAAATATTAAACTTCCTTATGCTTAAAAAAATTTCATGTCTGTTAACATTGATAATTTTTTAATAAAATACAAATTGATATATTATTATTATTGTGAAAGGTTCATATAATTTCTTTTTATGCAATACAAAAGAAAATAATAAAGGTAAATCTTTAATTATATTTTCGAATACTTTATTATAAGACATTATTTGAAAAAATTTAGAATGGTAACAGACATGACATAAACAAATTAAAAGAAATATTAAGCAATGCTTTTGAAATTTAAAAATCTTTATTCAATGTATAGTAGGACTCTAAAATTGCAATAAATTCTAATTTAGATTATTGTGTTCTGAAAATTAAAGTGGTTTAATTTTATTAAACATGTCCGGTAACAAACATGACAATTTTCAAACAATCTGACAAAAATATAACAGTTAAATTATTTTTTTAAAATTAATTTAACTTTTACTAACTTGTTCGAGAAGCATCAAAATATTATTAAAGAATATGTTTAGTTATTTTTGAAATTTATTTATTTATTTATACTTGAATTTATAAAATGGCACCCGATTTTGAAAATGACCCATATATGAAATATCTAAAACGTTTTATAAACAGCAGTATTTTTACTTTTTAGGCATCGTCATCCGAAGAAAATATAGAGAATGTAAGCATTTTTTGTTAATTTTTTTTCTTGAATTTTGTGTTATTTCTATAATTATTCTTTTTAAAAAGTCATTTGTATTTACATATCTACTTTAATTTTCAACATTTTTTTAGCAACTAATGATTGAATTCAAACTATAAGTCATTTATTAGTCTTTAAAATATCTGTTTTCTACTATATAAATATCAGTTTTCTACTGTCATAAAAATTACATCATAAAATAAAGAAATAACACCCCCTTTGTTAATGTTAGTATTATGTTAAATTTTTGTCATTGTAAATATCAACAATAAATTGTTATGATATGTGTGTGTATGAAATATTCCTTGGGAAAAAAGAGCAAAAAATTTCATAAGATTTCAAAATACACCAAAGTAAAAATATTTCAAAACCAAAGTCTAATATTAATAAGAGGTATATCCAACGTTTCGCCGAAGTACAGGGTTATGTGTTCTTTAATGTTCACAAATGATAATCTGTTGTAGTAATTACAATTTAACTTTCATAATATATTATTTTCATTCGGAAAAATGGAGTTGGAAAAATGGAATGATGAGAAGAATTACTATATGAATGTAAAAAGTCATTCTTGATGCTGAAAATGATGAGAAGAATTACTATATGAATGTAAAAAGTCACTCTTGATGATGAAAATGATGAGAAGAATTACTATATGAATGTAAAAAGTCATTCTTCTAGTGCATTATTCATGTGCTTGAATAAATTGTAAATAGGTCATACATCACGTGGGAGATAATTTACAAGTAGAAAATCATTGAAAAATCGTATTTTTTACCATTTAGGATCAGCTGTCACTTTGTAGCTATCTTTCTGTAATGCATCATAACTTATCGCAAGAATTATGTTTTTTATATAATTCAATTTTAAGTTTTTTTTCTATTGAGCGTTATTAATGCCACAACAAAATGAAGAACTCGGTTTAGGCTTAAATTTTTTTTAATACCAAATTCGACTGCAAAGCTGCTTTTCATAAGCGTTAGAAGGTATTTAAGTTTTAAATCTGTTATACTATTTATTAAATCAACTACTTATTGCTTATTTATATATTAGTTTTAAAATTTTTTACGGAATTTAAGCTTGAAAAAATAATGGTTTAAAATATATTTCTTTGAAACAACTCTGTTTTAAATTTGCAACATTACTTTCACAAAAGTCGAATAAATTCAGAAATTAATTTGAGGGAAATCGAATAAAGCGAAAATTAAAAAACAAAGAAGAAAAAAAATCAAAAACAAATAAAAAAATAAAATTTGACAATTTGGCGTTTTACTGCTTATATTTTTGAACTCGGAAATTCATATTTATTTAAATACTAGCCGCCTCAGGCAGCCAGCTGTTCGCCACGCTAAAGGTTTTCACAAATAAAGTTTTTTAAAACATAGCAGGAAATCTGAAGATTAGTGGACAATTAAAGTGTTCCTGTCCTGCAATTTTGTCTTCATATCCAGTTCTGTTGCAGATGTATTATAGCTCTTGAGGATGTTTGAAATTATATAGCTACAACGCTTAAGAAAAAAAAAACTAAAATGCTAAATACATGAAAAGAACACGAAAACTAATTAATTTTTTATGGTATCAATTTCTATTTCTATATAATTTTTTATGGTATCAATTTCCATTTCTATATCGCTACAAAAATTATCGTCTTCGCTTAAGAAAAAAAAATAGAGCGTGGAAAGAAGAAGAAAAACTTATTATAACAATTATGAACAACGACAAATATATCAAAGCGAAGCGTTCTATTTACGTATCGAATACGTTGCCACATTTTTAATACAAAAGTTAAACTTTTCTCCACTTTGATAAATGCAAACTAATGCGAACCTTACAACTAAATTATTAATTCCTTCGCATATTATTGGTTTAGGTTGTCGAAAATTAATATTTCAATTGTAAGGTTCGCATTAGCATACATTTATAAGAGTGAAGAAAAGTATATGCATTTTTTAATAGTTTTTTGAATATGGCTCTTTGAAGACGAAAAATATAGATTTTCTTACAAAATGACTGATAACTAAAAAACTAATCCAAATTTTTGAAAAAGAAAACAAATACTTCTTCATTATGTCAGAACACAATTATGTGCCGAGTTTCGTGCCTGGGCGAGGCTTCTGGGGCGATATATTGTGATTACAGACAGACACACAGCCGCGTTTATTATTATGTATATAGATTATTATTAATGTCTTATAGCAAATTTGATTTTATATATCTTTCAAATATCGTTATGGATAGAAAAAAATCAAATTTGGAACCTCCTGCACTTATTTGTATAAATGTCAAAATCCCTTTTATGCGATTTCCTTGAAATATGACTTACTCAAATTCATATGCTAATTTACTTATTGTAACGTGAATATTTAGAGATTAAATCAAAGTTCCACACATCCATATGAAAAAGAGGAAAATCGAAATATATGTGAAGAACTTAAAGCTTTTTAAAAACTCTAAGTAAATAGTGTCAAGTTGTAATTGGAAATAATAATTTTAATGCACTTTCCTCTTTTAACAGCTGGAAAATGAAGAACCAATGGAGGTAGAAGTAAGCAATGTTTGTTTAATCTGTGTTTAGACCTTTTTTAGTGATTTCTGTATTTGCTTTTTCAAAAACATTTATAAATACTTATACATGTCAAATTTTAAGTTGCATTTGCAAGAGAACAATCTCAATTTTTCTTGACAGATATTGAAGAAAGATGTTGAATTCAAGCAACACATTTTTAATAGCTGCTTAATAAGTCATTAGTTAATAAAGTAAAGTCATTAGATAGTGTTGCAATGTCATAAAAATTTAAAAGAAATTATTTGTGAATTTTATAAAAATGAAAATTTAAGAATCAATACAATGAAATTACTGTCAAAAAATATTATCACCTTATTATTGAACAAGTTTTTATTAATATAAAATTCAATAACAATTTGTCATTAAATATTTTTATATTCAATAATCATTGGGTTAAAAATAAGCGAAAAATAAATAAATAAACCTGTTAGATTTAAAATATGTCACAAAAAAAATAATGCCAAAAACCTAATATTAAGTTGTCTGGTATCCGACATTTCTCCAAATGTGACACCAAGTGGTTGAGTGGAAGAGCTTCACGCTCTAGTGCCATAGATCCTGGGTTCGATCCTCGGACCGGGCTAGGTTGACTCAACCTTTCTTCTCTTCAGTGGGGCGATAAAATGAGTACCATACATGCTTGTGAACTAAACATTGGGGGGTTCCACATCCGGCTGAATACCCAACCGGAACATCTGTTCCTGCACCACTGGGTTCAAGGACAAGAAAGCAGAGATGTTAAGTAGACCTTGGCCATCTATTTGCTGTCGTGCTACTGAGTGTAGTTTAGTTTAGTGATATCGTCAAGTTATAGTAAAAACACTTATTTTTAGTTGTTTTTTCTTTAATTTCCGTATCAAAGATAAATTTATGATAATACATGTAAATAGCTTTTTGTGTCTTATTTTGCAGTTAAATAATAAGTTAAATAATAGTTAGCAGCAATTAATCATGTCAGTAATAAACCTAATGTAAAAATGTTATATCAATTAGCATAACCTTAATTTTTCAGTGCATAATATTTTTCAGAAGTAATGCTCATAAACTCCATTTTATAATAAATTATTCAACTGACTTATTGAAATTCTCGTTTCCCTTTTTATTTCAAAATAAATAGTTCTACATAATGTTAATTTCTTTAGACATATAACTTAAAATTAAAATTATAAAAACACATTTTTGTACACGTCTTTGGATTAACGAGTTTATGAACTTGGTGCAAAAAGAAACAGGGAAAATAAGGGAAGCAACAATTGCTTGAGAGATAGGTAAATTTACACAAAATCTTTTATGTCTTCTGACAATAAATTGTGGTTACTGATACAATTCAATTAATTTAGAAAAAAAATTCCTTCTTTAAAGAGAAATAGAGTTAGCTAAAGATCATTATCTTGCTATACTGTTAATAGTTTCCTTCTGAAAATATGGTCAAGTAACCGGCAGCACTTTGTCCATCCGATTAACCTTAAAGTTTAAAGTAAAGAAAATGTTTTACCTTTACGGTTTGAAATCGTTAATAACTAGTATGGTTATAAAATCATAGAAGGAAAACTATATGGTATTTTAACCATTTACAACTAGCATGGTTTCAAAACCATAAAAAGAAATTTAACTGGACATAGAAGCTGAGCTTTTCCTTATGTAATGAGCATTGGAGAGAGCCGGGCACTTCATGTGTTGAAAGGAGCGGGGGGAAATATTTTGGTGTCAAGGTGGGGACTTGAACCTCAGTGTTGTCTGTCTGATTGACAGATCAGCCCTCTCGGCTGTAATATGCACGCAGCTGCAAGGAGCTAAGTGGCTTTATTAGGTGTGATGAGTTGGTGTTATAAAATCCTGGTTATTTAACCGTATTAAGTGAAAGCAGTTAATAAACGCAGTTAAAAGTTTGATTAACATCTTATTTATGGTTATTTTACTTTTTTGTTTGAATATGGTAAAACAACAATTAAATATATTGTTATTTAACCCTTTTTCCAAGAAATTTCTAACAGTGAACGCTTGATTTAAACTTCAAATTAAAACACCATTAAACACGTTTTGTTTACTTTGTAATTTTCTCAATAGTTGTTGTCAATGGAGTTTCTGAAAAATGAAAATTTTGATTTGAATACCATGAAAAAATAATATATATTAACGATGGAATAAACTCTTAACTTTTGGGAAGGAATGAAATAATAATATTTATGTTTTACTCAATTTGGTTATAACATAAAAATTCTTTTCTTTTTTAATTTATAGCAAGCTGTTGATTCGCAAAGGGATAATTTGGAGGTAAGTAAGATTGCAGGTTCATTAGCAATCCTTAACTGAAATAAATATATCATCTCTCTTTTTCTATATATCTACTATATTTTCAAGACAAAATTTTAAATAATTGAATAACAACACATTTTTTCTAAAGAATTATTTTTTATTATGTATATTGGTATTTTCTATATTTTTATTTATGATATTATTAAACTTCTAATAGCTTATCTCCTTTATAAATTTCATTCATAGGTTAATCAGCAACCAATGCCCTGTCCATCCAACCGAAGGTTTACTCCAAAAGTAAATAATACTTTTCAGTCATAAAATTAGTTAATTTGATTAAAAATATACACCTGTATAACTTTTTTCCATTATGTATCTATGTCTTTTCATTTAAGAAATTATTATCATAATTATTTTCTATCTTCATTACAAATTTTATCTGTAGGTTAGTCAGAAACATATAAATAAATTATCTAATCAATCAACTACGCAAATAATTATTTACATATAATTGTAATTGAATAAATTCATTTATTTGAAAATAAAAACATTTATTGGTAAAATAAAGCATTTCCGTTATAGATTTTGATTTGATTTTTTTCTCTATTTTAGAGGATTCGGAAACTTTTTGGGGAAGTTACAAATCAAGTAAGTAAGTTACTTATGTAAGTTTAATAAATGCTCATGTTAAAAAATACTTTACCATTCGTAATTCTGATTCATTTTCTCTCATCATTATCATGGCTATTGTTTGCTTACAGTTTAAATTTTATTTATGGCAGAATTGGACACTTTTAATTGAGAGATAAAATCAATCAATCACTTAGACAAGCTACATTAAGATGGAAATATAACTAAAGATGATTTAAAAATAAATTTAAGATAAAAATTTTTTAAAATGGGAATAATTAATAACTATAATTACTAATAATAATTAAAATGAGAATAATTAGTATTATACAATTGAAGACGAAACATTAAAATAATTAGTGCAAAATGATATTTGGCAAGATACCTCAGATATTACATTATCACACATGAATTGTGCAATAATTATACTTGTAGATCAAATACTGCTCATTAATTCATTATCATAGTTTTTATTTATCTAAATGTTAAATTTTATTAGGGGCATAATTTGACACTTCTGATTGAAAGATCAAATGAATCACTTAGGAAAGTTACATTAAGATAAAAATAAAGATCATTCAAAAATATTTTCAGATCATTCATTCATTCATTCATTAAAATATTGAATAATTTAATTCTATAACTGGTGTTATACAGTTAAAGAAGAAGCATTAAAATGATTGGTGCAAAATGATATTTGGCAAGATATATCTAATATGGCAAAAAACTTTAACAATAACATTTTCGACTACTTGTAGATCAATTATTGCTTGCATAACAATTATTGTTATCAATTATATAAACTTTAATTAAAATGGCAATATTTAATAATTTGTATTAAACAATTATAGAAGAAAACATTAGAACAATTGGTAAAATGTGATATTTGACGAGATACATCTTATATGACATTCTTGCTTATAAATTTTACAATAACATTTTCGAACACTTGGTGAAAATAAAGCAACAATTGTAGAAGATTATTGCATGTAAATCAATCATTACCAAATCTATTCTAATTTTTCTCAGTATTTTTAAGACATTCAAGAAGTATAGCATGGATATTTGAAATGTTGGGAATAAAACGGCTATAAAAGTTAAGCATTGCTAGAAATATTCTCAACTCAATTATTGTTTTATTCATATTTGTATTCAAAATTTCTTGAACTTCAGAAGGAACAGCTTTAACTCCATCGTCTGTGATTAAATATCTCAGAAAAGGAATTGAGCTTTGGCCAAATGTATATATAAAAAATTATTAAGTTTAATTCATACTCGAAGAACTTTTGAAAAACAAGTTTAAGATGCATTTCATGAACGACAAGTTTAAGATGCGTTTACATTCTTCAAGGGAATTAAAATGCAATTAAATTGTAGTATGCAAAACTGTAAACCTGACTTGATTTATAAGGTGCTGAAACTCTTGGTTTGCATTATGGAAGCCAAATGGCATATTTGAATAAGCCTAAAGGTGTAGTTATGACTACATTTGGCGTGTTCTCACGGTAAACTTCGTTGCATGCTCTACATAAGTCTAAAGTAGAAAATATCTTCATACCTACAAGAACTTGTGCGCAATTTTGAATGTAATGTACAGGATGCTTGTAAGGTATAGTGAAATATGAAAGTGAAATGAAAGTTATAGAACAAGCTTTAGCAGATGTATGTATAGATTTACTTCTTAAATTATATGTTTTCAGTTGAGTTAATATGATAGTTTGAGTTGATATATGGAAGATTACAGACTCAACTGTAATGCCTTTTCAGTACTTGAATCTAGTTTATCGTTCTGTTCAACCACAAAAACATACACTGACTCATGCCGAACAACAACAATAAAAAATAATGTAACTGCGTTACATTATTTTTACAGTTAAAGTAAAGGGTATTTTTCCATTTAAAATTTCTGTTAATTGATCTTCGCCTATTATTTTCTTTAAAAACATATTTTAAATTTTTTTATAAAAATTTTTTCTGACTTTTCTATCAAGTTGAGACAGATATTTCCTTGAAATTCTCATGAAAATTGAATCAATATGCACTCAAGAAATAAGTAACCCTTAGCTAGTAAACCTTACCTAAAATGCAGCCAATTAATTACTTGTAAACATATTATCATAATATATGGTACTCTCAGCAACTGTTTAACATTAAGAACACCTACCTATAAGCATTCATAAGACCATGCAGGCAGATATTCGTATAAGAAAGCATCTTTTATGTACGAAGTTAAAATCAATTTATTGTGAATCACTTAATTTGTATTTCTACCAATAATTTAACTAATAATACCAATAATTTAATTTGTACACATATTTTCAATAGAAAAAATGTGCAAGGAAAGTATTGCCTTCGATTAATATTTCTGAGCTTTATACTTTATTTATTTCTAAGCGTATTTTTCAGTTCTAAAGAAGAATTTATGCAAGATATAAATTTTTTATAGAGAACGATAATAATACAACTTCAAAAATGAAGATAATAATGTAGCGATCTATATACACCTAGAAAATGTTTCATTTCCAATAATGTTAATGATTCATTTTATGAATCTCATAACTAACTACATCATGTTTTGACTTATAGGTTTCAAAGAACAGACTGGCAGAACGAGAAGAGAAAACAAAACAGAGAAAGTACAAAAGAGAGAATGCACGGGAAAAAAACCGAAAGAAAAAAAGTGAAGGAGAAAATATGGAGAAAAAAAGAAAATGTGTAAGTCATTTTACTTCATTCAAATTAGTCGTGTTAAAAAGATCTGAAATTTTAATGCAAATTTTTGCCATCTTACTAATTTTTATACATGTTTGAGGTTTCAAGATTAATAATTCAGTTCTTAAATAAATTATTTAAATTTGTAGGTTTATCTTCATAAGATAACTACACTGAAGAGCCAAAAAAACAGGTATACTTGCCTAATATCGTGTAAGGTCCCTGCGAGCACGCAGAAGTGCCGCAACACGACGTGGCATGAATTCGATCAATGTGTGAAGTAGTGCTGGAGATAATTGACACCATGAATCCTGCAGGGCTGTTCATAAACCAGAGGGAGTAAGAGGGGGTGGGGATATCTTCTGAATATCAAGTTGCAAGGCATCCGAAATATGTTCAATAATGTTCATGTCTGGGAATTTTGGTGGCCAGTGGAAGTGTCTAAATTCAGAAGAGTGCTCTTGGATCCACTCCCTGACATGAACATTATTGAACATATTTCGGATGCCTTGCAACGTGATATTCAGAAGATATCCCCACCCCCTCTTACTCCCTCTGGTTTATGAACAGCCCTGCAATATTCATGATGTCAATTATCTCCAGCACTACTTCACACATTGATCGAATTCATGCCACGTCGTGTTGCGGCACTTCTGCGTGCTCGCAGGGACCCTACACGATATTAGGCTGGTATACCAGTTTTTTTGGCTCTTCAGTGTATTTGCTGCTCTATGTCAACAAAATTAAACTATGAAACATTCGAAAAAGCAGTTTTGGAAACTTTTTATAGGCTTTTAAAAATAAATAGAGGGATCGATTAGCGAAATGATGAACTTTCATAATTGAAATTTTTTTTTTCTGGCTTTAAAATAAAAAGAGCTGATGAGCTAGAGACGGTGGATCAGGACGAGAGAGAGTTAATTAAAACAAGTACATTAAGATTTGTCTTATTTTAAAAATATGATACTTTTATGAATTTGCTCGATTTTACATTCATTTGAGTGATATATGAAAAATGACATAGTCCGACCCTTGTCGAATTGTGTTATAAGTGCAAATATAAGAGAACGAGTGAGTGAATAAATGATAAAATTGCAAAATAAATTAGTAAATTAAAAAATAAGAGAAGGAAACAGTTGGATAAAAAATAATCCTAATTTTTCTAATGTAAAAAAGCAACATTTCTTAGGCTTTTGAATAAAAATGTTGATGAACTAGCGACGGCGGATTTAGACGAGAGAGAATTAATTACGATTATTATTATTAGCAGAAGTAATGTAAAAAAATGATATTTTATGTGTGCATTTGTAGTAGTCTCAGTTGGTTAATATTTTGAACTTTTTTAATTTTATTTTATTTCTAAATTTGATAACATTTTGTCTACTACTACTGTTTTAATATTTCTTCAGCTCACAAAGTGGAACTTTAATTTTAACTACCTTGTTTGAGCGTCATTATAAAATAACATTTAGTATTTGATGAAAATAATAAATGAATATTATTTTGTTTGAATTTTTAGCCAAAAGATGCTAGGCGCTGTTGAAAAAATCTGCAGCAAAAGATAGAGATCCGTGTAGAATGTGAGATGCCCTAGTACAACATGGACCTTTTTGATTAACATATTTCTGTAATATGTAAAATATACTCTCTGATATGTAATAAAGTCTTCTAGCATTTGTTATAGTATTTTCAAGCCATCTTGCATACAAGAACTATTGTTAAATTTAACTCATTGCAAGAAACCTTCCCTGATATGCTAGTTTCTCAAGTGATCGAAAATAATCTGGATTAATTAACAGCTTTTTTTCGTCATGGATAGTTTCATCTAAAAGCTCGGTTTACATGAAACTATTAGTTATACTAATGAGTTTTAGCTAGTTAACTTTAAGTGTGATGTATTATAAAAATTAGATATTTCCTAAATTTTATGAATATCATAAATTAATTTTTTTATCAATCTTAATTCTTTTATAAGCAAATTCAATTAATAATTTAATAATAATCCCCTTTTATAAAAAGCGAATATAAATACTGTTATTCTATTCTTAACATTTAATGTACCAGCTAACTCTTTAATTGAATACAAATGTATAATTCCTTAATTCAATGTCACTACAAATCAAATATCAAAATTTGTTTTTAATTATATTTCTCTGTAAGTCACTTTCTTTCTCTAACCACAAAAATATTTCGGTTATGAGGTTACATTAAATTCTCACGGTCTTTTTAGTAACTAAGTTGTTGCTATATTATCTACCAATAACTCTCCAAATTACTCGCCAATAACTCGCCATGCTTCTAAGTGTCCGTTAACAATTAATCATTCACTAGTAATTTAAAATTCTTGTCGTTAGGACTGGGGAAATTTTGGCTACCCAATGGTCTCTCAGTACAATCGTTCATCATTACAAAAATTATTATATAAAATTATTATATAAAATGGATGCCTGATAAGAAACTCTCCTCACTTCTGTAAAAGAGATGCTACTTAATATTCTATTTGCTACTATAAGTAATGGCCACATATTTGTTTTTGTTTCATTATAAAAATGCTCCTTAAAAAGGCAAGACATTTTTCCTCGATCATACTGCAGTATCTCACTCTCGGTGAAAACGCAATGTATAATGAATTTACACTACTACAATCACGTTCTGATGCTAATTTTATCACGTTATCAAACCTGATGAAAACTGTGTTATAAGTTGCTCTGGATCGTTCATAAAATTAATAATTTTGAGCTAAAGTATTGAAATATTTGCAAAAAAAAGTTTTATGCAAATATTAAAAAAAGTTTTATGCATGTCCTTAAAAAATATTTCGTTTGGAACATATCTTCTCGTTAATTAAAAAAATTGAAGAAAAAGCTTGATTCTTTTCTTTCTTACACAACAAAACATTTTGCATCAACTTTCCTATGTTATTTATAAAAATGCAATTAAGCACTCCCCCAAATCACATTACTCTCAGTGAAAAACAGAAATAGTGTTGAAAAGCAATTCTGAGATAGAAAAAAATATTGAATACGAAGATACAATTCTCTGATTCTTAAGATATGAAACTATCAATTATCCCTCAAAAGACAAAATGGAAATTCTTATCTCCAATTAATTATATCCTAACTAATCAACAAAAACTACATTGATATTAGAATACAATTTCAACATGAGTTTTGTAACTAATATTTAATTTAAGCTCTGAATTCAATGAAAAAAAAGTTAACTATTATTCAAGTGACAATAAAAATATAAAAAAGAAATAGATATAAGGAAATGGCGAAGAAATTTTTACTTTTTATTTCAATTTTTGATGGTATATATAATGATAAAGGGCGGAAGTTGTTTGCTTCACATTTCCTATTTCAATGCTTCTACGAAAGTAGTTCATTTGCATATTGATTTGCATTAACTTTTTTCAAAATGTCACATTTTAGTAATATCTCTCATATTTCTGTGAAGAAGATAAATTAAGCCCGAGTCTTATGCGTGAATGAGTTAGATTTGAATTTTTTTCTTCATATTTCATAATATTCATTTTTCAATGTCAGAAAATTTTTGGCAAAAATGGTTAAATAGTAATTTATTTAATTGCCATAGTCAATTAAATAAATTGCTATTTTAAGTCAATTTTACCATTATAAGTCCATTTTACGACAGTCAAGTACTTATTCAAGTAACCATAAAAAAGTTACTATTCAAACTGAGATTCTTTTTACTATATGCTTCGTAGTAAACAAGGTAAAATTTGATAAAATTATCACGATACCAAAGAGCATCGCATAAAGGCCATTTGTTCGGTTAAATTTACTTTTCAGTTTATTAATTACTATTAAATGGTGCCACCTATTGGAAAAGTAACAGAAGTTACAAAATTTGAATAAAATTGAATGATACCGAATTCTTGATCTTTTCTTTCAAGAAATTGAACGAAAACATAGGGTTGAAAATATATAAATTGAAATATGAAAGTTATTACCTGTCGTTTTAAAGTATTTTTATAGTGGTAAATTGTTGGCCTTGTTCAAGATAGAGAATTATAACTTAAAACCAAGAACTTTTGGTAAACTTTAGCCACGTGATCAGAATTTTTTTTACAAGTGAATGGTTAAAATACCGAGCATTTTTCTTATTATCCCAAATGAAATATTTTTTGTTTTTCAACCAGAAATGTCATTGCTAAACAATACTGTAATTTTATCAGATTTTTTTTTCCGAGAGATTTTTTATGATAAGCCGTATAACGAATAATTGGTAAAGACGAGTCTATCGAATGTTTCGTAATATGTTAAAATTAAAAATTGTTTAACATAAGATCTATTATTTTTGAACACTTTATAGTTGAATATTTCATTCATCCAGTAATTAAAAGCTTCATTTGATTCAATTTAGAAATATTGGGCAAAAGTTAATTTTTATTTTTATTTTGTCAAGGAATTATATTCCGTTAAATGCATGATTTTTAGTATAAAAATGTACCCTTATTTAAGAAAAAAGACCCTAATTCTTTTGTATTCTATTAGTAGATTTATAGTATTTTAAGAAAAATCCCTCATAGATTATTTAATAACACTTTATCATAAAATTGAAATTTTACTGACAATCAAAATAGATTGAGTTTGAGAGTACACTGGACATTTAATAATAATATTTTTTCTTAGAATTAGATGACTGCGAGTTGTAATTTTTGTTTTATGCCAAAAAAACATTTCCTTTGTATCTTGAGAGATTTAAGTGTCTGTGTCTGATTCAATTTATGAAAATTATGGAAAATTTTAACCTTTGTTTATCGCTTTTTCAAGACATACATTGAGAAGAAAGTATGATCAAAACAACAAGAATATGGTAAAGTTTAACATGTGTCTGACTCTATGAAAATACAAAAAAGCTCGGTAATTTTTACCGAAGGGCTCTGGTCGATTTTGATAAAATTAACAAATACTTTTATAATATGAGATAAAATTTTGTAAATTTGGTAGAATTTGTTGATTTTTTTCATGATATCTCAGAGCATAGCATAAAAACTATTTAGCTGATAAAATTCACTTCCTAGTTTCGTATACTTTACTAAATGTGGAGTAACAAGAACTATAATTTTGAAAATCAGAATTTCCAGTAAACTTGAACCATGTGAGCGGAAAAACTACCAAATGAATGGTTTAAATGCCGCATATTTTAGAATTTCTTTGGCTTTTGGTTTCCAGAATTATGTTTTTTTTATTAGAAAAGTCATTATCAGAAAATTCGATAATTTTACCAAAATAATTTTCTCCGAATAGTACTCCTTTGAAAGTACAGTGCCACAAAATAAAATAAAAAGTTAATACCCTAAATAACTTATAATTCAATGAACTGATGGATTCGAATTCTTGAACCATAAAATATGTTTGGTAGTCGCAACCTGGAAAATGTGAGAGTTTGATCAGGAAAGTGGTCAAAATTCTAGACCCTCTGTTAATTTCACTGTTTAAATTCCAACTATATCCAAAAAACATTTTAAGAGAACTTAAAAATATAATTATGAGTAAGATATGCAAATTTTTAATCCGTTTCAAAATTCTTACTCTTAAATAACAAAATAGAAAAATTTAAATTAAATTGACGGATAGTTTCTGAGATAATAATTTTCATTCAGTCGTATAATTAACCACTTTTCTTTATCACTTTAAAAGAAAAAAAACTCATATTGTCTATATAGCACTTCTGAACTGTTTTACTAAGGCAAAATTCCATCAAAACATATTTCTTTTTGTTGCGAGTTTTACTAATTTGTTATATAAATTAAAAAATTATTATGGATATTTCTCTTTTTACAATATGTTAGAGCAAAGGTTTTCTCAAAAAGAGCATATTACCAAATGACTTTTTATATTACATAACTTATTAATGTATGACAGAATACCTCCTTCAAAAACAATGAAATTGAAAATTTAATTATAGTGAAGCATCTAATTAGAATTTGAAAATTTATACATTTAAGAATATACAATTGAATAATTTTCTGTTTATTTTCGATAAAATCCATCAGCTTCTTTTAAAATGTCAAAACTGTTCAAAGTTTACAAATCATACAAAATTTCAACTATCTAAAGCTAAATTTATTCAACTAAGAGTAAACATTATTCAAGTTCATTTGATTATCGCTACAAATATTAGCAATAAAATCAGAATTTGAAGGTATATTTACTCGAACCACAGTATTTTACTGGAATTATATTTTCTTCCATTCCTGAGAAATTCTTATCCCATCTGTTCTTTCGCTTTTTATTCACTAACTCTTAAAATCTGTGAATAGTTTTCAGGAATATCTCGAATTTTCCGTCCTTATATTTACTTTAACCAGATGCTCCTGAAAATATTTTCAAGATTTCATGACTTATCAATTTAAATCTTTTATAACAGAGCACTATGTTTTTTATAGGTACATTTTATAATTATTCATAATTTGTAACATATTTAATAAAACTTCACTTTCTCGTTTTGTGTTTCAATCTTACTTTAATATAATGAAAAGATTATAAAGCAGTTTTAATAGAAAATTAACTTTAATGATTTTTAAATTTTAACTATGTTTATTAGTACACTTTTATGTGATTTAATTAGTTACTTAGTAAATTACTTTTATAATTTTAAGAATATTCTTACAAGTGTAGTTAGTTGTCGTACCATTTGAATATCGAAACCGTTCGTTA